GTTTCCAATCCATTAAATTTAGATCTACTTATAAGCTGTTCCTTGTCACATTTTAGTTAAATATTTTCGTTACTTGTCTCATCAAAAGAAAAAAGTACAAGAAAACATCATTAGTTAATTCATTTGCTTTCTTAACTTATTACCAAGGGATGTTTGATGTAAATTTTTTTGATAATAGATTTTATGAAAAGTGATATTATTTTAAAAATATGTGATTAAAAAATAGGGAAAATTTTCGATTTACTTGTAAAATTATTTTATCGAAAGAATGTACTGTTGAAAATGAATTTGATGAATTTGATGAATAGTGAATTTTAAAGAATCCTATGTTTGGTTTAATTTGGTTTCTCCAAATAACATACTGCATGAACATAGGCTTATGCATGGGGCTATCTAGGCTTTAATTATATTTTACGAAATGGCCTGATTGAGGAAAAACTTAGAGCCTTATTAACTATGTATTATGTTTTAATATAGGGTTTTTTTTTAGGTTCACATTAAAACGAGGCATGGATGATTACTCTATATATATAAAATAAAAATAGAATATAAACTAATTTTGGATTTAATAGAGGATTTTAATTGAATGAACAGGGATGGATGGACAAGTCTACTAAGGAACAAGTCAAATTTTAAATTGAGTATTCTGAATCAAGAACTGAACTAGTACAAATTAAGATAAGACCAATTATCTTTTATGTCGGAGCGAGGAAAATGCATTTTTTTAGAGAAAGATAATAATTACGATAATAACATAAAACAATAAGGAAACACTTCAATCTTTCTTCCCCAACCCGCATCTGGAGTTAAAATGATATATTAACAGAATTTCATGTCATTTCCACAAATAAAATAGATGCAGTGTCTAAACAAAAACAAAATAAAAATTTTAATGACTAGGAAAAAAAAGGAAAAAGGAAAGAAAGTTATAAACTAAAATAATTAATGTGACATTTCATAAATTGAAGTCCATTTAAATACCACACCGAATATATTTTCTTATTGGCAATGCCATGTCCGCATAACCTATTGCTCCTGTTGGTCTTTATTATTTCACATTATAATTTTTTCTCTATATTATTTTTAATTACATAATCTTTCATAAAATAATATTATACGTAAATCGAAAACTTTTACTCATTTTTAATCACACATTCTCCATAAAAATATTATTCCAAAAATTATAATAACAAATAATGGGACCAAACGGGGCTGAATTGTTTGACATGAAACAATAAAATTTAGAGGAAATCAAATGCTCAAATGATTTAATAAGGTTTAACATGAAACTTCATTTTTATACGTTTATTTAATATTTAAAAATAATACTAATATTTTTATGTGCAAGTTCGTATTCATTAAAGATAAAAAATTCTAACAATAATATTTCTTTGTCTATAATCCAATTCGAAAATACAATGATCAGTAACACAAATACAAAAATAATTAGACATGGGGTCTAACAGAATATGAAACTGGAATAGATTTGGATTAGTATTATGATAGCAAATTAACTTAAGAATCCTCATTTTTTAGAGTAATAGGAGATAGAAAATGAAAATTTCATCAACCTTAAACAATATGTAGTAAAAATATTTTAACAAAGTACCATGAATGGTGAGATAGCTAGGGTTTCTCAAAATAGTACGAATTTTAGTACTATTTATTGTGGAAATTATTATTATTATTATTATTATAAATTTTGGGTTCACAAAGAGATTGTTTGAATGCTAAGATTTTATTAAGCCAACCATGCGCTGGGGTCACTAACAACTATGTATCTACAACTTTACTCCAACCCCTAACCCCCATAAAAAATAATTGAATCACAGTCGAGTAATTTGGAATGAGTCTTTATCATCAACAAGAGAAGAACATATATAATTTTTTATAATTTCTGAATTCCAATTTCATCTTGAGAGTTCAGAAACCATATGCTCAAACATTTTTTATTGGTTGCGAACCGTGGTGGAAGGGTTATGACATACTTTTCATATTGGTTACAACTACTAATACTTCATATTTTAAATTTATAATGAAATGCTTCTAGGTGAAAAGTTTGTGGAGAAACAAAACCAACATGAATTTCGTTTTTTGGTCTACGGTAAATCAAGTGTATGACGTTAAATGATCTCATTATGCATTTTTATAAAATGTTTGGTATGTTAAATGACAACTAAAAGTTATTTTATAATTCTCTGCATTTAATCTTGTCTCGTAAATATTTATAGTCAATCAAATAGATGGATCCTTTAAAATGAGTGATTTGCTCACACTCATTACTCACTTTTTTCTCTGACCTATCCCTCTTGTCCAATTAACTATAATTATATTTAAAATCTTATTATATTTAAACTAAACTATTATAATTATATTATTATTAATTGGCAACTGTTATTGTGCTGGGATAGAATGTAACAAATATTTTCTTTTATCCTTTTCCAAATTACACCATAAAAATTTATTAATATAGTTAAAAAAAAAAGATTCCTCTATTTTTTCTCTGCTAAGTGCAACCCCAAAAGAATTTATAATTATAAGAAGAGGAAAATAATATGTATTTTCATTGAATTGAGTTCAAGACATTCCTCAATCACAAATAAAAATGACATTTCAACGTATTTGGCAAACCCTCAATCTAGAATAATTCAAAAATGGAAAAATTAAATTTAAAGGATCATAGGAAGTAGAAAAATAATTATTTGACTTTTAACGTTATGAAATGTTATTTATATCTTAATTTCCAAGTTTTGAGGTACTATTGTTGAATAAAAAATTTAAATAAATAAGTTATTTTATTTTGAAAAATTCTCACATGATCCGATTGTGAATCATAGGTAAGCTTGGAAAAGAATACTGATATCTGAAGCAAACAATGAGTCTTGGCTTACATTTTAAAGCCATGAATTTATTGTAACTCGGAGGGTTTTACCTATGCAGATTAGGCTTGTTGTGTCACTGATAAGAGGTCTATTAGCGGGTATTGGGAAAACAAAAAGTAGTTGCTCGTCTTCGTACTTAGTCCATTCAACATAGCATCATTTCTTTTAAAAAAAAATTTGTATGACTTCTGTAAATAAAAAGGAAATTGCTCCACTTATAGAGGTCTGTTTTACATACAATTGACAGAATACTAACAGTCGCAGGCCCCAGCGTATTTTTTTCATGTGGGACCGACCCTTACAGTGAGGGGTCGGTAAATCCTTTATAAAAATTTGCTCTGTAATTTCCAAATAACAAATCATTTGGATTGTAAGTGAGGGAGCGCCGTAAAAACAACATTGAATCATGAATGAGTATAGATCTCTCTCATTCTAAAACTTTAAACTTTTAAATGAGATAGGCCCTTTGTCCATATGGTTAATTAACGTCATAATGCATATAAGATTTGAAATTATATCAAAAGGTATCAAACCAATTTTCTAGTGCCTTTATGACCTGACGTAGAGCTAAATGAGCTTCACCCGTGAATTCAAAATACCTTTGCATACAAAGTAGTCGGGTTTACAACTTTGTATCCCAAATGTATGTTGTTGAAGAATATATAAGAAGACTCGAAATTTTGCTGACCCTGTGCTTCATACTAGTACATGAACAATTACTCGTATCTTGTATAGAATATGAAAAATTAAAGGTCATATTTTGTTACCAATACAAAAGCAATACATAATAGTTCACACTAAGTTAACACTTAAAGTTATGTCCCCGAAGTTATAGGTTACATTAGCGTTACCATAAGAAGAACTCAAGTTAATTAATACAAAAAATAAAAAATGAAGCACGGTAGAATGAATTAAAGATTCTATTCATGTACATTCTTGAAGATAAGTGACAAACCCATGTGAAAATATAATTTCGTTGCTGCAAATTGGTCTGTGTTATGGCGATTTCCGATGGTCTTGGTGGTTTTGGAATTCTTTGGCGGCCGTGGAGATGAAGACAATTAGGGTTTTGGATTCTCTTGTTGCTTTAGGAATTATAGTGTGTTTAATTATGGGTCTATTCTCTGTAATAAATTTAGAATAAACAGATTCTATTCATGTACATTCTTGAAGATAAGTGACAAACCCATGTGAAAATATAATTTCGTTGCTGCAAATTGGTCTGTGTTATGGCGATTTCCGATGGTCTTGGTGGTTTTGGAATTCTTTGGCGGCCGTGGAGGTGAAGACAATTAGGGTTTTGGATTCTCTTGTTGCTTTAGGAATTATAGTGTGTTTAATTATGGGTCTATTCTCTGTAATAAATTTAGAATAAACATAAATCACTATTGATTGAGGTTAATAGTAGCTCATAATAGAGTGTAATTTGTGACCTTCAATGAGCTAGTCAAAACTGATTACTTAAACCCTCTAAATCAAGATTTAACTTGCTAATTATAGATTTGGATCTTGGATTGAGATCTATTGTCTCATTTCCTTACTTCTTTAGTTGTCTCCATTAAAATTCTGACACATCACTATATCGAATAGTGTTATCAAATAGTTAGATGACATTTTGATGTAACGGAAGGTTACAGGAAAGATGAAAAAATTTCACAAAGATGAAAAACTCACGATTTTTTTTTTATTTCTCTCAATCAATGTCGCCTCAAAGGACTTCCAATATTTTATATAGCAAAAACTCTAGGAAAATTGGGAAAAATTAAAAAATAATAATAATAAAGGATTTTGTTTTTCAAGAATGGAAAAAAATTGAGATGATAACTAAAATTGAAAGTCTGAGTCTTCAGGATTATTTTTCAACAAACGAAATTGAAATCCGAATTTATTTGATTGAGATATAACAAAAACAAAAATTACCTAAAAAGGAAAAAACAAGTAAACGAAGAAATTTGCCGGATATTGGCCCTGCATCAGGGGCGAGGCCGCTGAGTCTTGTTCATTGGCCCGTTTCCAAATTCCAATCAAATAACATGTGCAAAGGTGAGGTATCAAATACGTTAAATCTTGAGCTTGACTTTTCTCTAGTTAGAGTATTCGCCGCTTCACATAGTAGTATAACAAGAAATAAAGATTTCTATACCACATCGATCCCAACACACCTGTCCTTTAGAAAAATCAATCTCTTTTTCGTCCATAATATTTTAGAGAATTACATGAACAAGTGAGTTACATAGATATCTTTTACTGCACTTTTGTAAGAAAGGTAGCGGTCTTAATAAAGATAAGACTAGACTTTCGAATGTCGATCCATTAATCTTAGTTTTATGATGAAGTTGGGATTTACTTGTCAATGAAATCAAAGAGTTCATCTCCAATACCAAATCCAAGCATTCTGGCCATGTCTTTAGTCTTCAATCTTGGCATTGGTATGTCATTTTCCTTCAACCATGAGTACACAATAAAAACTTTCTGCATAATGAACAATTCCAGTGCCTCCGGGTTAAATACGACTCCCATTCTCATACTCATCTGCCATAAACACTCGGAGTTAAAAAACTTGTAACGTGTATGTTGAATTTTCACCTTCTCTCAAGACTTTATCGCCACATGCATACCATTTTTTTCATTTTTTATTTTAAATTAAAGTGGCTGAAAGAAGAATCGAAACCATTAATCTGGTGTTGGCACTAACCAACGTTGCCTACATACAATTGGAGATGTAGGTGAAGACAAATCTCTGTAGTAATGAGTTAATCCCAAGAACTTCATAAACAACTACATTGTCTGAACGTTCATATTTGACAAAGCTTAAAGTTATAATTTAAGCCCGTTTATTAGCACATTTCGCAGTACCCACAGCTTGTAAGTACTTATAGACACTTCCAAACGAAATATTTTCTTGTGCACAATGCAGGTCGATATTATTGGAAAATATGGATAATGGGTCGCCCATGTGGGGTGACCCGACCCATAGAATTTTAAAAGGGTTGGAGGGAGTGGTTTGAATTTAGAATTCAAACCCATAACTCCCAAGTAACCACTTGAAACTTCCATTTAGAAGTTATGGAAAAGAAGGGGAAAATGCAAGACATGAGAAAAATTGTGAAAAATTCGTATGGAAATTCACCTCAAAATTGGAAAGTTCCTAGAATCACATTTTTGACATGAAATCTCACAAGAAATGACACTTAGATTGTGGATAATAACCCCCTTCCATTATGATCGGGATTTGGACCATTGGAGTACAAGAAAATGCAGATTTTAGAGATTTGAAGGCAATGTGATTCAACCACATAAAGATCTTGAAATTCATCATTTCAAGTAAGTTTGTTAACTCGAAATTCATATCAAAACATGCTAAGATTTTCCTACATTGGTATCAGAGCCATAAGGTTGAATTCCTTGCTGTAATTCATGCTTAATTATGCCATTACACGATAGAATTGGATTATGAATCTTGTATGCAAAGTTTTGAAACCTTATGTGGTATTTAGTGGCATCATTTGATAATTTATTGTCATTTATTCGTTCATCTTCATGCAGTAAGATTAGTATGGTTAGAAAGGTCTTCTCATAAGCTTTCCAACCATATAAAGAACTCAAATTTTGGACTTAAAATGAAGAAGTTATGAGTTTTTGAAATTTGAATGATAATCTGAATTCTAAGCGTGAAACTTGGTAAAATCCTGAAATTTATCACGTGATAACTTTTTATACATTAAGTTTCATGCTGCCCATTTGGTATGATTGGATAGATCTTCTCAAGACCTTTCTAATGATATAAAGATCATTAATTTTGGGCTTGAGACGAGAATGTTATGCCCTCCCAAAGTTTAGATGAAAATTCGTCTTTTTAGTGAAAATTTGTAGAATCAGAAACTTCATCAGATGATAACTTCTTCCACATTGTGTTTCATGATCCCATTTAATATGGTTGGATGGATCTTCTCGAGACATTTCCAACAATATAAAGAGCATAAATTTTGGCCTTGGAATGAAGAAGTTATGACCTCCCGAAATATTGATAAAAAATCGAAAAATTATGTTTGTTTGTTTTTTTTTAAAGATGAACAATACTTTTTTTCCCATTTTTTAGTCTCGATCGTATTTGTTTGGGTCCAGAACACAATCTTAAAAGTTGATATTGTGAAATCTGACCACACAGATAAACTCAGTAACGTTAAAATTGATTAGAGTGGCGAATTAATTTTTTTTCATTGAATAAGCGCCGCGGATTGGTGTGTAGTGGGTGTTCAATGCCCCTTTTTTTTATTAAAAAAAAAGGTTAAAAGTTGGAATGTCAAATAAAATTATCGTTTGACTTTTTCAAATTAATTTTAGAAAATTGCAAACTGGTTTCTCAAATATTCTTGATTTTTATGTGCAATTAAAATTAATTTTCAGATAATCAAATTTTTTTTTTTGGACTCGATTAAATTCTAATTATTTTATTTATTTTTATTTTTTTTTTATAAAAATCGAGAATATTTGTTAAACAGTATTTGCCTAGTGAGGTTTCATTTTTAAATGAAAAATACTCCGAAGGTATTTAAAATACCGCATTATATATACGTTCATGAGTTGTGTGGATCTTAATTAGGCTGTGTGATCCATTGTGACTTGTTTTCAATTTTTCGTGCTTGATCAAATATGAATAGATCTATGCACATTTATAGCATCCTTAGAAGGAATGCTAGAAAATCAAAGGCTATGAAACTTATTGAAATGTTCTATACTTATCGATATAAATGAATGTATTTGGAACATGACCTATCGAGGAACACATAAATATTTTGGGATATAAGTTTTTGATGACAAGCAGAATATAATTATTCTAATGTCACTTCCCAATTATTAGGATTGTGTTGCGATCGACATTTAGATGAGATTGAGAATTTGTAAAATAAAACTTAAACAATGTTAGTTTTATTTTTGAATTATAATTGAAGTTATCTTCTGAAAGAATTAATTTGTTATATTATGATGCATGTCATGATTGGATAAATGTGCATATTTATGTTTTTATTGCATATTATGAAATTATCTAATTGAATACATCATGTATTGTTATAAATGCTAGGGTAAGTAGAATTAGTGAGATTCTTACTTAGACCTATTGATTGTCAGTTGAGTGATAGTTCGGTGATTGGAAGATTTAGAGAAAATATCACCAAGAACTATTTGATTCATCAACTGAGTGGGAGTTCTGAAGTTGGAAAAATTAATGTGATTCTCACTTAAAAGCCATGGAATTTTGCATTATTAAATTAAGTTTATGATAGTGAAACGATAGGACTACGCGATGATTGGGAACATAGTGAACTTTCGACTCTGTGCCTAACGTTGAACTATCGTAGATGTTAATTTGCGTTAATGCAAAATTAAATATGTGCATAAATGGACATTGATTAAGAATAATATGTCTCTAAAAATCTGACAGATCATGACATCAAAATCTATAAAAGTTAATTTTAATAAAGGTAATATACTAAATGCGATGACATTTGGCATGATAAGATTTTACATGTACTAGAAGGACATGATGCTTTAGAGAGCATCAACCACGTAATAGAAGACCTTATGTAGGTCATACTACTCTAGAGAATAAAGATCAGAATCGAATTTAGTCGAGTACGAGAAAATGTGAATTTTAGTACTCGAGCATTTAAATTGTTAAGTTATGTTATAAATGATCTTTTTTTTTCAAATGTGACATAGTTGGTGGTTAGTTTAGTGTTAACATTTTCATTGGTCACATTAATTTTAGATGAGTAGTAAGTTCAAATTAGCCTCTTCTTAATATATGGAATTTTGAAGGTTATTATGACTTACAAATTGAAGTGTTAATTTTTTTCTATTGATACTACCCGCTATGTGAGTTAAAAGACGTGTGACTTGATGTTGCTAAATCTCGAGGACATGCTTGTGTAGCAATGTCCTAGCTTGCATAATATTTTGAATTTTAAGCATTAAATGAGCTAGAACAAATGCGGGATAGATGTGGGAGATTGGTAAAGGGACCAACACGAACTATCAGATAGTAAGTGAATGAATGTGGTTTTGGTAGATGATCAATATTATAAAGGTTCAAGTACTTCAACTATACGATTTGAATCTATTAGCTCGAAAGTGGTTAAATTAAAAGATATTGCACTTGAATATATTCCTCTTAGTGCTGTTTACGTGTCAACACTATACATGTTGGATCTTATCTTGTGTGGATAGTGGATTCAAAGGTTAGAAACCAATTTTATATGAGATCAAAAGGTATATTATTCTATTGTCGAGTCTTTGACTTGATACAAAGTAGATATATACAAATAATAAAGATGGAGTAGATGTTTATATGACTAATACTGAAATCTAGTATTGCAAAGTGGAGAAATTGACATCCTATTTGATATTAAGATAATATCAAAGACTTCACTAAATTTGATCTCAGTTATTGTTCTTCTAAGAGTGGTTTCTTACTTGAACTTATGCGTGGTATTTCTATTCGTACTTACAGTGGTGATGTTTATTATGGTTCTGGATATTTGTGCGATTGTTTGAGGTTTTGAGTTGAGAAAACCATTCAAAACTGTAAGAGCTAAATTTTCGTAGAATAAATCCATCCAAATTTCTTTGCGGACTGTGATTAAAAGAGATAGAGATGAAACTTTACTTTTCATTACATTTATAAATGGATTCACGCATTTCAGATATGCCTCTGATTTTCTTAAATTGAAGATATTGTACTGGTTTAGACTTTTATGAAGTCGAGTAGAAAATCAGATTATGGAAGTGAAGATTTTAAGAACTGTTTGACAACATGAATCTCTATCACGAGATATCAATGATCTATGTAATGAGAGGAACTCTTATTGGATTGACTATTCTTTAATATCCAATAATTATATGGTGTCTTGGATTGAAAGAATGAAATATTGCTAAATATGATGACTGATGAGGTTCAACATATGTAGTACAATTTACGTATTTGCTTTTGGAAATACCGTTGGCTAACTACAACATATCAATTAATGGAGTTTTTTCAATGTTGGTACCTTCATAATATATAAGTTTGGACACGTAAATAATCTAATGTGGGTTATCATAGACTCTTAATTGATTATATATGTTCTCGATAATGAGTATGGGAACTTGCTAAGAACAAGATGTGTCTCAATGACATACATGTAGTCTAAAAAGGTACTTAAGTGAAATTTTTGGATGGATATCGAGTCATAAAATATGACATTTGACATTTTTTCCAATAAGGGAGAAAAAGATTGGAGAACATCATTGAAATTGATATTATATGTATTGATGAATCAGTTTTGAATATATAAGAGATGATTCAAACTTCTAATTCAAGTGGGAGTAATCTGTTTCCAAGTTGGACTTATCTATCCAAGTGGGAGCCATATAAGAACTGTCTAATTTCAATAATTCTTGGTTCCAAGTTGGATCTAAGAGCTAGTTCAGAAAATCAAAAGAAAATTTTTGAGAAAAGTAATGGAAGTCAATATATGGAGAATATAATTTCAACCTAATCTGGGATATGGTGAAAGTTCTATTCGGACATTATGTTTACTGATAATATTTAAGTTCTTGAAAGTTAGTGAAAGATTAGTGAGTTTCTGATAGATAAAGCTCATTTTTAAAAAGGTTATACTCAATGTGAGTGCATTGAGTTGAATAAATTTTTTCATAACGATGGGATTCGCTTCTGTACATCAATGCTAGCCGTGATGGTATGTTTAAATTTAGAGTTACACCAAATCGACTTAAAGACTGTATTTTTATTCTCAATTGAGAAATGATTAAAGATATCAACATGAATCGATTTTTAGATTTCATGTTAAAGACTTTTTTTTGTATAGTGGTAACTTTACAATTACACACATGGTCAAATACAGTCATCTCGACAATCGTACTTGAGTTTTTAATAGGGTTAAATCTAGTATAAAAATTTTGTCATATAGGCGAAAATTACTGTATTTGTGAAAATTCTGATGATAGGTTGTAATTCTAACTTTGATATTGATGACATTGAATTGGCTAAGCATGATAAGGAGTGTATAGAGACCATTTTGAAATGGTTGTCCTCAATTTTTGAGAGAAAAGATATGTGTTTAGTAAATTGTATGATTTGTGCTAAGAATACTTTTCGTATATTCTTATTCTATTATAAGAGTTTTATACTATAAATGCTCATGTGGAATTGCAACTGTGACCATATAAGTCTTCATAAATATCCAAAGATTTCATAAGTGTACAAAGAAATATCCAGAGAACCATATCTAGTACGATTAAGAATTAGGAGATAGAAGTATACTATGATATATACTTTTCCTAACAATGATCATGCCATGGATCTAATCAATAGGTTGTTATGTATATCTTGGCAGCTAAAGAAATTGTTTGGTATAGATGTATTGAGTATCTAATGATACTAGTTGAGAATATGAGATCTATGATAATTACGCAACTATCTTATATGTTAAGATCTCAAGTATCAAAATAGAACCAAACACTTAATGGTAATTATGTGAGAGACATTAGCAAAGAAAGTGCCTTTGCGATATATCTGTGTAAATGATGATATGTAATCATCATACTTTGAAGATGTCTAAAGATATATTTGTTAATAATATGGAATCTCTAGAATTTCATAGAATATGATACTTGATATATCAGACAAACTCTTGATTGACTTTTGTATGCCCATAGATGAACGATTTTGAGTTCATGTGTAATCTAATGTTGGGATTACAAGATAAATGATTTGTATACACATATAAAGTATGTCGAACGGGTTGAGATTGACTTACTCACACAAGCAATTGCCTCAGACGTTTTAAGATGTGCTGAGATGAGACACAATGATCATGTTGTGTACATGATCCAATCGCCTTGATAGTGATCATTTTGTTTACATGATCCAGTCACTTTGATAAGGTATCAAGATGATATTACAACAAGTAATCGAAATGAATTTCGCTATCCATTAAACCCGTTTAGTAGCCAGATCGAGTTCTCGATTTGAGAATGCCTGGAGGAATGAACATAAGGAGAACTCAAGTTAAGTATCGAGGAATACTTGAACTATGATTTGTACGATGTTATTTGTTTACAAAGAATATGACATACACCCTAAGAAAGGGAGAAAACATTGTAGTACGTGTTTCATACCGAGTGTGCTTTTACGACCAATATTGGGTAAATGAGTGAATGGATCCCTGCTTCCTCATTGTATGAGACCCTGAGGTTTATGTAACCTCATATATGTCCGTATGACTTTTGACTGTTTCTTAAGGTTTTATTCCAGTGTTGCTACTTTAGCATGTTGCCAATGACTATGATTGATTCAGTTTGATGGGGCATGTCTAGGAAAGCAGCTAATTTAAAATCGAAGGATTCAAGTAGGAAAGGAAAACTATTTTGACCAACATTTATATTTGTATTCACCGGCCGGACAATTGTGTTTAACCATTTGGGGTATAGAATGCAATTGTGAATACAATGATATGATGCAGAGTTCAAGTATGTTCCACAAATACTCGAGGGATCGAAAATACTTGAATTAATGTTGGAAAATGAGTTTGGGACATAGCGAGATGTGATGTTCCTCCTCTAGTAGAGCTACTATATATCCCTAACAGGTTTATAGTACCGTGAGCTTTAATATTACTCGTTGGTCGCACGATCTATTTTCCGTATGAATCTTTGTGAGATAGATCTGGAGAAGGATCTAAGGTGTGACATTTGTTGTCACTTGTGGTTCGGATCAACCCCATCATGTGCGAGTGGGAGATGTTGGAAAATATGGATAATGGGTCGCCCATGTGAGGTGACCCGAACCGCAAGATTTTAAAAGGGATGGAGGGAGTGGTTTGAATTTAGAATTCAAACCCATAACTCCCAAGTAACCACTTGAAACTTCCATATAGAAGTTATGGAAAAGAAGGGGAAAATGCAAGACATGAGAAAAATGGTGAAAAATCCGTATGGAAATTCACCTCAAAATTGGAAAGTCTCTAAAATCACATTTTTGGCATGAAATCTCACAAGAAATGATACTTAGATTGTGGATAATAATCCCCTTTCATTATGATCGGGATTTAGACCATTGGAGTACAAGAAAATGCAGATTTTGGTGATTTGAAGGCAAGATGATTCAACCACACAAAGATCTTGAAATTCATCATTTCAAGTAAGTTTGTTGACCCGAAATTAATGTCAAAGCATGCTACAATTTTCCTACAGATACGATACCTGGTGAGGCACGAGCATAGCTGCATATCGTGCGAGCTCTCCTGCTCGCCAGTCCAATACAACAGGGAGCCATGGATACACAGCATCCAGTCGAATGAACCACAACCTTATATCAGGGAATTCAGATAGCTCTCGAGGATCATATTCATCTTCTCTAGTGTAATTGATCGTAAATCCAATAGTACGTTCCAATAATTCCTTTGGATTAGCATTTTCTGCAAGAAAATCAGCCAATGTAAGTATACCATATCATTCAAATGTTTCCACATTAGTCCTTTTCTCTTTTCTTTTTTTACCTGATAGAGGTGAGGTTATTCCAGTTGCACTCTCAAAAGGGGCTAAGTCAAGACAACGAATAATATCATTATCGATTACTACTTCATACCGGCCTTCTGTTGGGGGCATTGGTGGTGCTGCTTTCTCTATGTCTGAGTTCAAGAAAAGAAATTTCAGATCAGAAATGTCTTAAAGACTTCTTCAGTCGCTAACTTGTTCTTACTAGTGATATTAATTTATTTTTCTGTACTAATATGTTTCCTACACAAGTATTCTAGTAATAACGTCTTTGCGAAGATCTCGTCATCCAAGATGAACAAAAACAAACTAAGTCTTGTTCCCAATAGTCGAGGTCGGTTATAAGAAATTTTTTATACATACGCTGTAATTCCTTTAATTCATTCTACATCGCTATCATCCTACTTATTTTACCCTTAAAACGAATAACAAATAATGAAGAGAAGAATCGAACCTTACCATTTTCATCATCATACAGGGAGAGATCGTAGTTCCCAGAAGGATTAAATGCGACTCCAGCAGCAACTTGTCTTTGTTGGTGTTGAATTGTATGTAACTGTATGGAAGAAACAGGAGATTCTGAGGTTGATTTGCAGTAAATCCATGGAGTTGAAGAGGGAATGTTAATGGACTGTTTGAGTGGAGAAGAAAGTGGATAAAGAGGTCTTATGGTAGCCATTGGATGGAAAAGAGGCCCTTTGTGAATTGTGAGTGACAGTTAATATAGTTTTGTCTGGTCATACATTCTCAGTCTATCTCTTCTTCGTCGTGCGCTTGAGTTCGATATCCTATTGGAAAGCCCAATAGCCCAATAAGCAATGCATACAAGAAGAAGAAAAGGGTGGTTAAAAACTGATAAAAATCGTAACTTTCATAAATATATGGTTAAAATTGAACTTTCACTTATTGAAAAGTTGATAAACTTCTAACACTAGTTTTATCAAATAACACTGTGTACAATCCTGTTCATAATCTATTTGAACATGATACTCAAATATGCAATTAAAAAAGAGTAACTATATACACACCACATTTTTTTATTTTTAATTTCTTGCACCATATTTTAATGACATGAATTCTCAATCTATTCATTATAGCATTTAGGTCTCTAATGATTTTTCACGTCATTCTTATCCTCAAACTTTTCACTAATTAACACATTTTATGTTTGGTAACGGTTTTATGTCTAAAAGTTTGTTAAAATGATATACAATAACTTATTTTTTCATCATAGTAAAAATAGACAAATAAAAAATGCGAAAATTTATTTTTTTCCTCATTTCAAAGTACAAAAACAAAAAATTTTGATAAAAATCATCGTCAAGGACGAGATGCACTAATTAATAAAAGGTTAATATAATAATTTGATGAAGAAAGTTAAGAATAATAGCTACAATGAGCAAAGTTTGAGGAGCTTAACTGCAATGAAAATGTGATGTATCAAATAATAATTGTGGTGGCAATATGACCCTCTTAAATTTTAAAAATCATTCAAATTACTTATTTTTAACTTAAATTGTTCAGGCCATTCGTACGTATTTGTTACTAGTCTTTGTCGTGGTACCATTACTCTTAACCTTATATTTTTAATTGGGGGAGTGGGTAGAGAGCCAAATGGAGTCGCTGGCAATCCAGGTTCAACTCAACCCAATAGGCGAGCATGGTTCGGCTTGACCCATGGGCCCGAGCATTCAATTTTTTAAGGCATATATATATATATATAGGGAGAGCCCACAAATCTTCATTTTACTTTCTACAAATTGATTGCTCTTCATGGAGTAGGATTAAAATTTTTAATTATCAACACTTAACCCTCGAAAGATCCGTCCGCAGATGCATTGATGAAGACTCTCTCTCAACAATAGTCTTAACTTTCTACATGCCAAGATTTATATTATTTATAGAACCACAATCTTGTGGGCGGTGTGAAGAAAAGTTCACTTGGTAGTCTCAAATCCTCTCACTCATGGGACAAATATTCTAAAACTATTTTCATCTAGTATCGTCTTTAATTGTAGAATTTAATGTATATTGTCGTACTTTAATTGTAGGATGATTCGTATAATATAACTACACTCTAAAGTAGGAGAGTAACTTGTGGGAGGATAATAATTCATCCCAATTGATATTAATTATCATTTAGAAAAAAAGTGACAATGAAGAATGTATTTGCAATTATTTTAATCCGGCAGAAAGGCCTATTGTTTCCATAATACAAACTATATTCCCTGTATAATTTAAATTGAATCAGCATTGTCCGGTGATGTGTCGACCTTCGGTTACTCTGCCGATACTATGAACTGAATAATATGAAATAAATAATTTCAACTCCGAGATTAACCCTTGGTTAGAGCCTAGCCTGAAGGTACCATAAAACAAAGGTTTCCTCAAAAATAGCGATAAAAAATTAAAATAAATCATACCATTAATTTCGTAATTAGTGCTTACTGAGTTGTATTGTTTGTCTGTCAAAGTTTATAGCAAAATCCTCTCCACAATTTTAGCAGAATTTTTTTTTACTAGTGCAGTGGTTGTGGATTCATTTTGCCATCTTTAATTTCCCGAGTTTCCTCGTAGATGTCTTGTCTTTTCTCTATTTCTATTATGTGAGTCAAGGTTTCCTTTTTATTATTCATTTATATTTTTGGTGTTTAGGTTCTTGTTTTCTTTATCAAGTAACTTTGAATAAATGATTTACACTGTTTACATAAGAGCATCTCCATTTCCAAGACGTGGAAACTCCATTAGACATGTTAACCCGCCAATTACTCAAGCAATGAGAGAGAGAGAGAGAGAGAGAGAGAGAGAGAGATGAACCACACCATCTTGCTTCAAAAGTTAAAAGAAAAGCATGGAAATATTGAAAATATCAGAACCTGGTGTAGCCCTTCATTAGGAATGGCTAGACGAGTAGTCTATGATTTGGTGCTTATGAAGGAAAAATGATCAATTCAATGGAGTGAGCTTGCTGCCGCCTGGATATAGAGATAAAAGGCAGATGGTAATTTGAAGCATGATACCACAAACAATAACAATAATGCTAAATCTTTTAGAGCATTGAAAGGTTTAGGCACCATAAATTAGTTGTGTTTAACTAATGAAGCAGGTCAAGGAGCATACCAAAATAAATAATTGCAATGTTTCAAAAAACACAAAGCATAACTAAACGATAAGGTCAAGTTTTAAGCTTTTAAGAGCATAAGCGTAAAAAAATATTAAGTATCAATTATTATTTTTATATTTAAGCAACATGAAATTTTATAACAATTTTGAGACAAAATATTCACAAAATCTAAACAACGTAAAATCTTACTTTTGCCAATTAAACCAAAGTTTGGTACATATCTTTTGAATCTAATTTTTTTTTCTTAAATTTATTTTCAAATACACATTCTTTTAATATTATAGTTTTGCATGTGGGCTCGTGATCTTTTTCTTTTTTCCTATTTATTAACCACGTATTCTCAAAAAAGAATATTTTTTCACAATATCTATTCTCAAAATTGTTATATCATGAATTAGACTGTGTGTACAAGGGAGGAGTTCACACAGAACCCCTCTCGAATACTCACATGGATGAGTCCCTAGTAAGTAAAATATTACAAAAAATACCTACTGTGTTGTGGAGACACACCACACAATCCTTATATTATACTATCCCAAGTTTCAAATCTTTACAAGTATGTAACCCTAAATTTGATTTGGTCAACTTTGTCAACCAGTTGACTGGCTTGTTCAAATATTAAGTTTCCAATACTTGGTGCTGAGCACTCCAACTAGTTACTAGTATATATCTGCAATATTGGTATAGTCTTAGTCTTTGACCTTTTTATGACACATATGATTATTTTCTTACTACAATACTTTGCTAATGAAGATTAGGTGAAACAATAGAAGAATAAAAATTAGTAACACAAATAAGTCTTGCAAGATTTGACATAGATTCATTCTCAATCTAATCACTATAATTGTTAGGATTCCTTTTTCTATGACCGGCCCTCGAGAGTATAATGTTTTGCTACCACTTAAAAGCTTCGAGTGGTATATGTTGTAAGAATTCATTAATTGTGTAAGGCAAATATTATACACGTACATAATCAAACTTTAGTTTTAAAAAAAAATTGATTCTAGCAATCCGTAAAACCAAATGAAAACAAAGTATAGATGGAGGTAGCCTCAAGGACCACCTCAAAGGGCTCGACCTTGAACAGCCTCAAGGTGACTTGCTCTACCGTGCCTAGCTATGTGTCGTAATGACTCTGCCATTATGTAACATCACTTCCTATATTTTCTCAAAAGTTAACACTCATTATTGCATGTGGAACTTTAAGTGACCCTATTTTTTGATTTGGTCAACTTCGTCAACTAGAAGAATGGCTTCTTCAAATATATGATTTTCGGTTCTAGGTGTAGAATATACTAGTTGAATAAATTTCTTTCAAGGTATGGCAGGGTGATCAAAATAGACCAGTATATGACTGAAACCTCAATCCTCCTAGTCTTTAACATATTATTTTATAATTAAAATTTTGTACTAAAGGAAAATATTATGTACAAGAAAAAGTATAAACAAGATATGGTAAAAATTTAACGATAGTAAAATGTAATATGAAATTTGTATTCAGTATTCGCGTCACGAAACTATAGCCCTAGTTACTCGCTTCATGCGCGTACATCTAGGTTGGCAAGTTGTAACCGCAGACATAACTATTCGTCTTTTCCGTTGATCTCCATTCTTTTCAAATGGGTGAAAGTCCGATCCATCAGAGACCTTCTGATGTGATCCAGGAGCCGCAAGCAACCAAATCAAGTCCAACGTCAAACCCGAGGAAAGATCCATTTAAAGTCGAAGGTGGACCTATGACACGAGCAAGGACAAAGCAAGTGAAAGAGGCGATGAGATTACTTGTCAAGACAACCATCGATGAAATCATGTTCAGGACTCAAAATAGGACAAGTTTCGTGCTCAGGTTGAAGGCCGAAATCAATTGGATCAACACGATACAAGCAGTCGAAGATGGAGCTAGAGAGAAGAACCATGCGACCGCATGGTTAAAACCGTTCTGCAGTCGCACGGAGTGAGACAGGGAGTTATTCGGGATTTTCGAATGTTCCATGCGGCCGCATGATTTTACACCATGCGACTGCATGGTTAAAAACTTGACGCGTTTTTTTTATTTTTTCGCGAATTTCCTATTTTTGATAGAATTTGATATTTAGTAGATTTCTTACCATATTTGAAATATTAGGCACGTTTTTACCTAATTTTTTAGACCTAGTATAAATACTATTTTATTTTTAATTGTAAGAACATTTTGAATTTATTCGTAATTTGAGTGGTTATATTGCTTTCAACTCTTGTTCTACAATTGAACAATTCAAGAAATTATCAAGATTTAATCTTGTAGCGTTCAAATCAACTTGGTGAGATTCTGAATTTTTGTGTAATCAAGAGGTCCGCATATCGTCGACGATTCAAGTTGCTTGGTTCCAGATCTATTGAATTTAATCCAAAACCTTGCTTTGACTTTCTTGGGAAGATTTCAATCTTGTTCATGGGTTCCGTAGCGTTTGCCTACGCGGGTTCACATCACCTTCTCTTTTCATTTTGCTCTTGCTGCCATGACAAAAAAAATACCATACTACCAGAGAAATACCAATCGAAATGAAAAGCACAGGTTTCAAAATTGCACAACTCAAGAATATCGCACAA